GCTGCCGACTGCGCGGGGCGTTTGTTGTGGCGCCTCCCTTCCGGGCCTGCTTCTGCCATGCGTGTCGCCCCGACCGTGATCACCCCTGCATTTAGACACCTGTTTGGACGCTGCGCCATGCAAACCATCTCGATATCCACAACCGCTCGGAAGCGTGTAATAAAACCGCCCCCAAGCAGCTTCTTTACATTCACTTTCGCCAACCAAACAGACACCTGTTATGTGGGAGAGGGACTTACATGCAATGAAACAAAGCTACCATATAAGGGGGCGCAATCCTTGGGGTGACAAAAAGCCCTGGTGAGACAGTTGAGCATAAAAGCAGGCAGTTGAGTGCGCGCGCACACGCAAATGACAACCCGGCAGGCGGGCCAGCGAGGCGTCGCCGCCGGAACGCAGCGGCGGCGAGCCCGAAAGAGGCGCCGTCCTGGGGCGCGCTGCGAGTGCGAGTGCGAGTGCTGGTGTGCATGCGTGCACCGTGCGTAGGGGCAGGGCGTTGGGAAAGTGAGGCAATGCGGTTCCGCAATGCACATGGCCTGAGCGCATACGTGTGCATTCTGTGTGGGGGGCGTTGCGCGCACGAGTGCGCGCGCGTGCAGGTATGCAAAAAAAGTGTCTGTGTGTGTATGTGTCGAGGTTTGCAGTGCGTTTGCCGCCAGCAGCCACTGGCAGGGCTTCCCCAGCACACGCTGCTGCGGCGCACATGGGGAGCAAAACGCACGCGTGCAGGGGCGTGCGCAGCTGCGCGCCGCGCCGGAAGTTGAGGGGTCGACGACAGCACGCGCTTGCCGGCGCCGAATGCCGCCACCCGTCTGGGCTGGGATTAAGTATGGGTTGAGATCTGCAAGGTGCCGATTGGCCGCGGAAAAGACGGGAGTCCCAAGCGTCCAACACAGGAGGGAGGGACCAGCGCCGCAGGCTGTGGCCGGGGGCCCCTCCAACCCGTCCTGCCCTCGCCCGCCTCGACCAAGGGCGCGCCGGCTGCGTGCGTACGCGGGACCGCCGCGGCTGGGCGCCGCCGCATGCAGGGATACGTGAGAGCAGCCTACGTGCGTTGCGGGGGGCATGGCCTGGCACGCGTGTATGCGGGACTCGCTGCGACTGCTGAGTTGGAATTGTGCATTTAATGGCAGATGCACAGTCTGTGATGTGAGGGCGTCGATAACGTAGTGTACACAAGCGTGGCATGTTGCTCGCCCACTCACAAGCGTCCTTGCGTGTGCGCGCGTGTGTGTACGCTCCCTCTTGTTTTTCTGGCAGGCCCGCGGAAAGGGGCGTCGGCAGGGCGCCGCGCCCGCTGCTGCCGCAGAATTCCTTCACACAACGGCGCGAGGCGCGGCCGCGCCCGCCTGCGGGCGACAAGCCAAGCAAATTGGCTGCGGCCGGCGCTTCGCACGCTGCGGGTGCGGCGGTGGCGCCGCCCCGGCGGCGCCTGAAAGCGGCGGCGCGCCCGCGCGTCACTCTTTCCGCTGCGTGGCGCACCCGTGGCAGCGCCGCCAAAAAACGACCAATTTGATCAGAGAATTGGGGATATGGTGAATCCCCAATAAAGCGTGCCGCACTGCGCAAGGCGATGGGGGGCAAGTACGAGGCCGAAGCGGCCGCCTCCTCGCCCCACAGCCCCGCGCGCGCCCGCCGCGGCGGCGGCGGCCCAACGCGACCGCCCGCCGCCAGGCGGACGCCCCATCCTGCATACTGACATCCCAAGCCTCACAATAGCCTATATATACTATATATGGTCCTGACAGATCGTCAAATTCGTTTTGATCTTGATCACCCCAAACAAATCATGATCACGTCTCACCACGCCCTCTGATGTCAGATCACCCCTGTGCATCCTGCCCCGCCGGGAGCCCGACCACGCACACGCTCGTGCCCTGCGCCGCCGCCAGGTGGCGCGCGCACTGCAGCGCCGCGGTGGGGGCAGGCACGGGCGCGCCGCCGAGCGGCGGCAGCGCGAGCGGCAGCGGCAGCGGCAGCTTTGGCGCGAGAGGGGCGCCGACGCTCGCGGCCGGCGGCGCAGGGCCCGACGCCGCGGCTGCGGCGCCACAGCTGTTGTTGGTTTGGGAGGGACTGCCGGCGCTGCCGCCGCCGGCGCCGTCGAGTTCCCTCTCCACGCAGCCCCCTGCACGTGCGGCGGCCGGCGGCGCCGGCAGCGGCGCCTGGCCCCGCTCGCGGACGGC